GCTTTGGATGCGCTTCACGCACTATATGAGGAGGACAAACGACTTCACGCCGCAGCAGCATCTCAGCTGACGTCACAGCGACAGGTGGATGCAGAAACCACGGAGGGGCAGGGATCAACAGACGCTCACTCGTCTCCTCTGCCTCAGCGTCTCCTGCGATCCGCCAGCTGCCAATCTTGTATCATCCAGCCCACTGACGGGCTGGCTTCTGCTTCTACGGGGCCAACAGCAAATCCACCTGTGGTTCGACGTAAGAAAGTAAAATAGATTCCCCCATAAGCCTGTTTTCTAATTATGGGGATAGCAATGTTATTAATCTGTCAAAATCTTTGGTATTAACTGATGCTCAATTTTCTCTTTTAAACAAAGGTTTAAATTTCATTCCTTCTACTGAAATGGGTAAAACAAAACACAATTTATTACAATCCAGGTTTGATTTGCAAAACTACCACAGGAGACTTAAATTAGCTTATTTTTTTAGGAAAAACAATAAAACGGTACCTCCCCCTTTCACGCCGGCGTCCAATTGGACCCCAGAAATGTCTCATTTACCTCCCCAGTTCTCAAAGTTGATTGAAAATGATCTCCATTTTTTTGATAATAAATTTAAGCTTAATAAAACAAAACCTAATCTGAGTATGACAGAAACTCTAGCCCTAAAACAACTGTCTGACAATGTAAACATAGTAATCAAACCTGCTGATAAAGGGAGTTCAGTTGTCATTATGGACAAATGCCATTACTTGTGGGAGGGTGAAAGGCAACTTAATGACACTAATTATTACCGTCCACTCACACACCCAATTTTTACTGACACCATCCCTCTGGTACATGATGTGATTGAAAAATTATACTGTAAAAACTTTATTAATTTTAAACAGAGGGCGTATCTTTTGGGCTCTAGGGAACCCAGACCCAGACTATTTTACATGCTCCCAAAAATACACAAGGACCCTGACAAATGGCCTCTGCCATTTGTTATTCCTCCAGGTCGACCTATAGTCTCAGATTGTAGCAGCGAGACTTACTACACAGCAGAATACATTGAACATTTTTTGAACCCTCTTTCCACCAAACACGCTAGTTATATTAAAGATACTTATGATTTTTGTGAAAAGATTTCTAACATTATGGTACCCTCAGATGCTCTCCTCTTCACCATGGACGTTGACAGCTTATACACTAATATAGTAACGCAAGAGGGTTTGAAGGTCATTAGACAAGTTTTTTCAGAATATCCGGACCCAAACAGACCAGATCAGGAACTTTTAAAATTATTGGAAATCAACCTGACAAGAAATGATTTTGAATTCAACGGTAAATATTTCTTACAGATTAAGGGTACAGCGATGGGTAAAAAGTTTGCCCCCTCATATGCAAACCTTTTTATGGCACACTGGGAGACTTCAGTTTTACAAATTTGTACTAAGAAACCTTTATATTATTACAGATATCTGGATGACATTTGGGGTGTTTGGACCCACTCTATGAATGATTTTGTACATTTCCTAAATGAACTTAACACATACAACCCTTGTATAACACTAAAAGCAACAAAAGATTATAATTCAGTTGATTTTTTGGACACAACCACATACAAAGGCCCTTCGTTTCAGACCAGTAACGTCCTGGATGTGAAAGTTTTTTTTTAAACCAACTGACACACATGCTTTACTTCACAGATCCAGTTTCCACCCTAAACATACTTTTGCCGGTCTTATTAAGTCCCAACTTCTGAGGTTTTTTAGAATATGCACACAACAGACAGACTTCTTTAAGGCCACTAAGGTGCTATTCAAAGCCCTATCCACCAGAGGGTATTCAAGATCGTTCCTGCGCAGTTGTTTTAAAACTTTTCAGGACAAGAAAACCCCTTTAGTCAACCCAATAGTACCCTTGGTGATTACTTACTCGAGGGACGCCCAACAAATTATCCAAAAAGTCAAACGGAATTTAAATATTTTTAAAGAAGAGAGTAATACGTTGCAGGACCATAGAGTCATATCAGCTTTCAGGAGAAACAGAAACCTTAAAGATTGTTTGGTTCATGCTAGATTAAAAAATAGTATTATCTCCAAAGATAAGACATTCAATAACTGTTTTCAACAGATCAGATGGGTTCAAAATAAAATCAATAATCAGGTTTTTGAAACTGACAAAACAGGGAACATAAGGTCACAAAATTGTATTTTCCTTATCACATGTGGGGTCTGTGGTAAACAATTTGTTGGTGAGACAAGACAAGCCCTATTGACCAGACTCTGTCAACTCAGATTTAATTTACAGACAGAGGGTGAAACACATTCCCTTCCTGTCCTACATTTTTTTCTCCATGGTTGGGCAGCGGTCAAATCCACGGTTCTACAGGTGAAC